TGGATGAGGAGGAAATATTGGTCGACAGACTCGACATTCACAATTAGTCCAGCCGTTTAGGAGGAGTTCAGTGACATACTTGGTACAACTTTGATACTTTAGAGTTAAATTGTAAAGTTACGTACAAACAGCACGTGGTCCGTGATAATATACTGCTGAGAATCATAATTTTTATCCCAAGCAACAGAAGAGTTAAGATACATTTTGAACACCATACACCGAATATTAAATATCGAATTGAACAAAGTTTGAGTAATATAGATTTGGTACATTTAACGGGAAACGAAGCGCACGGGATCGGCTAGTAAGAAATATAAATATAGATATAACATTTTGATAAGATGTAGAAACATAAAATAGTAGTAATTAGTTAAATATATAAAAAAAAAATGAGATAGAATAATATAAAATATATAATTGAATAATTGGATGGTGAGTCGGAATACTATTTGTATAGTATTAGATTTTAATGTCCGGATTGGTCAGCCATTTTGTTGCCACTGCTGTAACCTTGTGGAGGTATTTCATTCAGCCTGGTATGTTGCGTACTAGACATTTTTCGACGAGTGATAAGCTGTCTGATTGTCTTGTCCACAGTCCCATTGTGGTGTATCCTTATGTCCTCATATATACAGCATATTTCCTGTTTTTCCGTGGCCAGTCCTAAGTCTATTTAAGGTCACCCATTCCTTCCGAGGTAGTTGCAGGAATCCCTGGGTACTTTCCGTAGGTTGTTCAATGATAATATTAAATTTGTCAGGGTTATCTAGTCTCCATTCATCAGTCCATTTAGAGTTGAGGTTCATTCATGGGAAGTTTCATTATGTGAATTCATGGGAATGTCAACTCTATCCAAAGAAGTTACTTGTTTATAAATTATAATGAATTATCGGAAACCTCTTATTTTAAATATATGAATGTAAATTTGCAGAAAATCAGAAAATGTAAAAGTAATTCAAAACAGTTTTCCCTTTGTAATTAATTAATTTCAAACAAAATACAACTTTTCATTAATTCATCATGAAGTAAAAACCACTAAACATAATTAACATAATATTTATAGATAAAACTCTGTGCAGATAATTGTTTATCGTTCACGTTCCCTTTTTAATAGAGATTTTTAAAAATTTTTCCGAAATAATATAATATATTATTATACTAATGATTTTTGTAAATTTTAAATAATGCCTTCGATGGCTGAAGTTATTACTTTATTAAAATCAAAATTAAAGGAATACTAAGGCCATAATAATACAGTTATGACTTTTTAGATGTTCATTTAAACTTGAAAACTTTTATTAGATAGAATTTAAAATAATATTTGAGTAATAATTTTGGATTGTTCTAAAATATGTATGTCTATCTACAATATACCTTTTAATAGAACCTATAGTTACATGTTTTATTATGATTCGTTTTTGGCATTGCAATTATTATTATTAAACAAAAAATTAAGATATAACATGAAATAATAAATTTTATTATTTTAGTTCTATTTTCATCAAAAACGAATGTAAAAAAAAATATTTATGCGTTCACAATAATGGATGTTAAGTACTACTATATCGTATTTAATAATTGTCTTTTCTGAATATCTTAAATCACTTGTATGGAATTAATTCATACAACTATTTTTTTTACAAGGAAAGGACCTTGATTACATTTTATCAGCATAGTTATAGTAGTTATAAACATTTCATTATAAAGAAGATAAATATATTCCATGGTTGGAACGGCCTGAAAAAATATTAAAACCTAACAGTAAAATGTCAAATTTGCATCTCTTTAGATGCACATAAAGATTATCTCAATTTTAATTTTAACTACTTAATACGTGTGTTGCAACATAATAATAAGAAATTTTGTAGATTTTGGGGGCTTACTTTTTTTTTTTTATAATTTCAACTGAATGGCAATTTGTTAAAAGGGACCCATGTAAATTTTCCACTACTTTTCAGGAGAAACAAAAAACAGTTTTCCTTTATTTCTATTTGCATAATAATATAAATCATCACAATTTAGATTTAATAGTATTGTATAAAAAATAAATAGAAAAAAAATTATTTAAAAATAACGAATTTTCGTAATGTGACATATGTACCCTTAAACAAATTCTAATAATTTTATTAATTTAAGGTATCATAATTTAATATAATAATCATATTTTAAAATAATTTAATACCTTCTTATTTATTTTATCCAATTAAATAGATACCGATGCAACTAAATAACAAACTTTGAATATAAACAAATGAAAACAATCATAAAAAAACAATATTTTTTTATTAAAATTAAAAAAAAAAGAAAAACGTATATACCTACCTAATTTTATTGAATCAGTCTTAGATTTACAAATTATAAGCATATACGACACGTGTTTACATAAGAGGATGAATAATATACAATAAAATTATTTTTGTCAACATTTAACTTGGGTCTCTTTTAACAAATTCCAATTCAACTATTTTTTTTTACTATTTTAGATTTTGAGCTTATCAATGAACTTTTACAAATTGATTTTATAATAATTATTATGTGCACATAAAAAATAAAGTCAGAATACACTATATTAGTAGTAGAAAGGTGGTTCTTGGTAGAAAATCGGATCTATAGTTGATATTTTGGGTGGTCAAAAGTAAAATTGTCAAACTCGACTTTCTAAATAATCAGAAAAAAAACTTGCATTTTTTATCAAAACAAGATTTCGGTAAAATATAATCTTTGGTTTTTTTTTATAATTTAAAAATGTAAAACTGTAGATATACTTTTGAAACTCGAATTTCAAACTAGGAAGTACACGTATTAAAATGACATTCGTGAGGATGGAATTTTTTTTTCATTATTTATATATACAATATACATATTATATTATCTATCAGTTTCCACAATATAAAATTTTAAATTCAACTAATATTATTCTATTGGTTTTCTGTTGAAAATGAAGTACATTAAAGAATCATATAACCAATGCACTTTACGTAATATTATTATTAAATTACAGTATATTGCTTTTTATCATGTTTTTCAAATTTTATAAAATTCTTTTTCTTAGGGATGTTCTTAAAAAAAATATAATGTTCTTCTTAATTAACCAATAAAATATGTTATAAATTATTTATCTAAAAATTAAATAATAATATCTTAATTACGCTTTTTAAATCCAACATTGTGGCTTAAATTACTTTTATCACAATGAAATAAAGTAAAATAAAACACAGTTAATACTATGATATTATATAATATTAAATACAGTTAGCGATTTGCATAACATAGATTTTTTTTTCCGGATATGATATATTTATCCAAGACTAATAAATTGTATGTGCATAATATTTAAAAAATGCATTAAAAATGTCGTTTGAAAATTATTACAGTTATGACGAGACTTGACGTTAAGTACCTAGATATTTTTATGGAGATAATGTTACTATCGATCAATAAAACTCCAAACTAAAAATTTGTTTCGATTTCATATATATATTTTTTGTATTCTTTATTAGGTTTAAGGCTTCGACAACCGAGGTTATTAGCCTGTAGAGTGAAGGTTGATTGGGTTGGTACAGTAGGGTTGGAACGGTTGGTACGTTCGGTTAGGAACACGTGTGTGTGTGGCAAGGTTTTTGAGCACTCGGGCGGTCACCCATCCGAGAACTAATGTCAGCGTCCGTAGCTTACCTCAATTACATCGCGTGATTGATTTAAACCACTGGGCCGAGCTGAGCCACTATTTCATATTTTGTTTGCTATCGTTATGATAAATATTATAATTTAAAATGTGCACTATAAATGTATTGTATAATAATTTAAAACTAAATTTAACTCAATTAAGTAAATTAATCGTAATGAATACAGTTTATTAAAATAATGATTTGAAAATAGAAAAATATTTTTAAAGTTATTCATCACAATTGAGGAGCATAGTATTTCTTATGATTTTAAATTTTTTAATTGTTATTGCCCTATATGAATTATGAAATAACAGCAGGTAGTTAGAATATGGTTTTTTTTTTGACACTTTTGATTTATTTTTCAACTGGTAATAAAATAAGGACAGCCGTCTAACGTTTTTATGTTTGGATTTAAGATATTATATTATTGAAAAAAGTCCAATACAATAAGATAAAATATATTTTTTTTTATAAGTTATTAAGATGTTCTATGTTTGCTTTGTGACTCATATATTAAAAATAAATATCTGCAAAGAATCTGCAATAAATTGTTATTAAAAGTTATACATAGATATAAAAATGCCTTATGCGTATATACAAAACCTAAAAAAAAAAAAAATCAGCTTTACAATTGTACTAAATCGTTAAGAAAATATTTATTCCCAAATGTGTGTCCAACTATAAGAAAACATATTATGTAGTTATAGTTCAAGTCCGAATATCAAATGTGATAAGTCAAACAATGTGTAAAGGATGAACTTAAATCATATTTTTGATAGTTTACTTAAACTTTAAGTTTATACCCATCTTAAATCGTTAGTGGTATTATTTTCAAGTTTATCGTAATATCGCCATGAATAGTATGTACATGATAAGGGAGCGCATGGTTAAGACATTGAGATGGGTGTTCAAGTTATTTATAAAAAAAGTATCAATATAACATTCAAATAAGTTTCAACAAATTAAAATTTTTTGAACAATATGACAACAGCTTGAAACTGACCCTACACCTTATAAATCACTTTATACACTTCACTATATAACTTTGAAATATACCCATAATAAATATTTATTTTGCTATTGTGGCAATTTATAGACACAATATAATACTCGTATTATAAAATAGTATAAATAGACTGTCTTTATAATATTCTAAATAAAATTTAAATCTAATTAATATTACAATTTATAATACAATGCACTGTTTATTTGTTTTATTACAATGGAAATAATTAATTAAAGTAAAATCATATAAATTAGGGCTTCATATTAAATGTAAATTTGAACGTATTACATAATATGTGTTTTTTATTTTCAGATACAGTTGAAACCATGACTGTCAGACTTATCGTGCTTGGAATTTTTCTACTAATTTCTAGTCCATGTTTTTCCGTAAATATCTTAGGATTTTTGGGTCAGGCTTACCGTAAACATTTAATTCAATTCCGCGAAGATCCTCAATTCGGAAATAAAAAAATATTAGATGAGTACGATTTTATAGTGGTAGGAGCTGGTGCTGCAGGAGCAACGGTCGCCCGACGATTAGCTGAGGTGTCGAAATGGAACATACTACTATTGGAAGCTGGTGGAGAAGAATCATTGATAACTTCTCTTCCAAGTATTGCTCACTATTTACAATTTACAAATTACAATTGGGCATACCACACGGAGGAGGAGTTACATGCTTGTAGAGGACTTGTAAACAAGACTTGCCCTTGGCCGGCAGGAAAAGGATTGGGAGGAAGCACAATAATTAATAACAATATGTACACAAGGGGTAATGTAAGAGATTTCGATCGTTGGGCAGAAGCAGGAAATCGAGGGTGGTCTTATAAGGAAGTACTACCTTATTTCCTAAAAAACGAAGACGTAAACATACCGGAACTAAAAAGGTCCCCCTATCACGGGGTGGGAGGACCATTGCCAATTAACTATCCTGATTATAAGTCGAAACTGGTCGAAGCGTTCTTGGAGTCAGCACCTGAGGTCGGTATGTCTGTTGGTGACTATAACGCTCCGGGTAGTCATGTGGTATTTTCCAGAATTCAAAGTACAACATCGAGTGGCAGACGAATAACTTCTGCTAGAGCTTATCTCCACGACAACTTAAATAATCTGCACATAGTCGAATTCGGGTATGTCACAAAAATATTGATAGACGACCGAACAAAAGTGGCGTATGGAGTAGAGTTTATGAAGAATAAAAAGAAAAGAAGAGTTCTGGCTAAAAAGGAGGTAATAATATCAGCAGGCACGTTCAACTCGGCTAAACTGTTAATGTTGTCAGGTATTGGGCCCAAAGAACATCTGGGTCCTTTAGGTATAAAGACCGTGAGTGATTTACGCGTGGGAGACAACTTACAAGAACATCCAGCATTTGCCGGGTTGGCTTTTCTAGTGAACGAAACTGTATCGTTTGTTCCGGACAGAATATTTCGTGACTTAATAAACGAAGCATTTAAAATAAACGAAAAAAGGAGTTTTATGACAACCTTGCCACCCGAAGGTGTTGGCTACGTGAAAACCAAGTACAACACGGATGTAGGAGACATACCCGATATCGAGTATATATTCATGTCTACCAGTTTGGCGGGGGAAGGGGGTTTGGGTGGCAGTATTGGACGGAGATCGATGGGTGTACCCGACAGGCTGTACTACGAAACGTATAACGGCGCTTTGGCACGTGACACGTGGTCAATTTGGGTCATGTTGATGTACCCGGAGAGCAGAGGACAGGTATGATGTTTTGTTGACATGTAAAATATATTAGCTGGTATGTATATGAAAATATTAATCATCGATGAATACGTTGTCCACGTGTAGGTAAGGCTGCGCAGTGCTAATCCGTTCGACAAGCCGGTGATCAACGCCAACTTTTTCACCGACCGTATGGACTTGAAACGAATCGTGGAAGGCATCAAAATGACGATCGAGCTCAGCAAGACCAAGGCGTTTCAGAAGTACGGTTCCCGGTTACACAAAACACCCCTGCTCGGGTGTAGACACTTGGAATTCGGCACCGATCCGTACTGGGAGTGTTGCGTGGAGACGATGACAATGCAGATGCACCACCAGAGTGGCACGTGCAAAATGGGACCGGAATGGGATCGAAACGCCGTAGTGAACCCTGAGCTGAAGGTGTACGGTGTGAATAGACTGAGGGTGATAGACTGCTCCATAATGCCCACGATTACAGGCGCCCATACTGTGGCGCCGACCTATATGATTGGCGAGAAAGGCGCCGATTTAGTCAAGTCTACTTGGTTGAATAACATCCAAGCAGACTTGTGATCAGCACCTAACTGAAATAAATGAAACTGTGCTTGAAACACACCTATGAAATTATATCAGTGAAAATGACTATTAATCTATTCTGTGTTATTGTTATGTAGATTGTAGATAGACATTATTTTTCATCGTATTTCTTTAAATTTTTTATAGGATATAAGTATAGAATATAAGACATATTATGTAATAAACGATGTAATAGTCTAGATAAATTAATTTTGAAAAAAAATGTATTACTTAAGGTACATTTATCAGTACTGACCATATTTATATCAAAAAGAGATACCTCAGAAATTAACTTTTCTCCTTATAGAATCATAATGTTAAATAGTATTTTAATAAGTTGGGCACAATAATTTTTAGAAGTTACTCAATACCGATTTGGTTTTGGTTATTATTAAGTTTGCAAAGATGACAGATGTATTAATTATCTTCTCACTTTTACTCCCGACCAATATCACGAACGATAGTAAATTTGTCATGTCATTCCACCATCATATAAAATAAAACCATTTTACTACTGTTTGGATAGAAAAATAAAAATAAATTAAAATTGTTTTCGGGTTTTCCTAAAGAGAGGTGTGCCTAATAAATTTAAATCTAATCTCTAAAACTGAAATTGGATTACTGATTATTTTGACTACCTATTTTGTTTAACTCTAAATTAATTTAAAACATTCACCATTTTTCAATAAGCAATAACGCATGTAAAAGTCAAAGAAGATACAATATTTTTTTTTTTTAAATATAAAGTTTTTTCTGAGTAAAATAATATTATGATGATTGGAAACTAAGTTAAAATGGTTTAATTATTAACTATGAAGACTAAGATAAACAGATTGAATTTAAGGCATAGGCATAGGTTCTAGTATTTTACTATCCTAGTTTTTTACTATACTTAGGGTTTTAACAAAATGTAATCCTAAATGTTATTTTATGAATTATTATTTTTCCTTAATAATATTGTAGTGCTTTATTTTACAACAAACCATACGGTAATCGTATCGTAAATAAAATACATATTATATGATTGCATATTATATTTGCACAGGGAATTTCGACTGATATATTTTATGTTCAATTATTGACTCACAGAAATATGTTTCGTTTTTGAATATTGGTACTTTACTTTAGTATAAAATACATAGTAAGTTTTGAAATTAACTTCGTTCTGGACAAATTTATATTTATCGATTTCCAAAAAAGCAATGTGAAAAAACAAACATGAACGATAACATTTACGACTTGGTGTGTATTTCTTTCTTCATTTTTCACGGTACACAGATTTTTAAACCAGATTTTTTTTTAGCGGTGGCACAATTTATTGCATTTCCAATCGGAAAATGGTGAACGAGGGGTGTAATAATTCAGGTCGATTGAAAAATAGCTTTAATTGCTCAACTTTTTTCATACACGAACGAGGGGAAAAAAATAAATGTCAGTGTTCCAAGTAAATCCGTCAGTGAATGTTTGACAAACTCACAAGACTGACGGTAAATCGTGAACTTGTAGATTAAATATTAATGTTATTATTATGATAATTGTTATACTTTTGAGAAAGAAAACTAAATCCTGCATGCAATCACATAAATGATTAAAAAAGTTTGAACTTTGTAATAAAAAAACATTGGTTCATCTGCATGGTGCCTACCTATTTAAATATTTTACCGGTTGGATAATTAAATTTCGTGCCTAATTATTTTTCCAATTTTCAAGTGTTCAGTCCTCGTTGAGAATTTTTTTAAGGCACAAAATAAGAAAAAAAAATACATAAATAGTAGCAATACTTCTTTGAGAATATAAATAAAAGTGCACACCTATTGCATATTATATTATATTATGAGTGTAACACAGCATGTTAGTATTTATGACTAATATGAGGATAAACCCGCGTGAGTCACTGAATTAAATCGGGATAAAAAATGAACAGTATTGTTTTCTTTTTCCTACAAAGTGTATAGGTATACCCACAAAACCGCTGGAATTATTTTTGAACGCATTTTGGAATTATTGATTTTTGTCATTAACATTATAATGCCCATCGATTTTTTATCTCTAGCCAATCTTCACATGATCAGCACGATTTATCGTATATTCAACAACAACTAAGACTTTGTATTAGCATTTACCAGATAATCAAACGGAGCAGTCGTGTACAATAATAGTATCCGCAATGGAGAAGTCGCTAATATACGACGTCGTTACTTAATACTTTTTTATTTCTTTTTTATGTTTCGATTTAATATAAATATTCTTTATTTTACGTACACCTGTTGAAAATTAAATTTCGCGCCTAATTATTTTTAAAATTTTAAAGTGTTCGATCTGCTTTATGATTTTTTTTAAAAAGCCAAATAAAAAGAAAAAATACATAAATAGTAGTAATACCTCATTGAGAATATAAATAAAAGTCCACACCTATTGCATATATTATATTATGAGTGTAACACAGCATATGGGAGTATTATTATGATTAATATGAGGAGTTAACCACACGGTTTTTAATGTTTGCGACCATGTTTCAGTGAACCTCGGTTCATAAATATTTCCGCAGTTAAGTTGATTGTTATTCATAAGATCCGTCTCGACATCAAATATTCTATTATTATTAAAATCGTCCTGCACAAGCCGACTATTATAATATACGCACGGTGCGTAAGTGTATACCAGGTATCCGGTCGAATCTACTGTCTTTGGCCATTTTCGGCAAGACGCATGTACAACTGCTGTTAAAATTCGGAACAAAATATTACAGGTTGCAATCAAAGGTTGACCATATTTTAATAATCGTGATATTTATTGATAATTAACGACTTATAAACTATGGGTACTAGCCGACAATTGATTCAACAATAAAATAAAATTTTTCTAAAGCACTAATATTATTATGTTTGAATTTTATTTCACAATTTATCAGATGATAATAATTACTCCGTATACATAATAAGCACACAATATTGAGCGTTTATCACTTCTTGGTACAAAATTAAGAACGAAGGCGGGTCTAATAAGCAGTGTGTCAAAAGACATCAATGTCAAATTTGCAAATTATTTTGTTGTTAGAAATTCGTAAAATTATTTTGAACTTCAATATTGAAAGTTTGAGAATGGAAGACAAGGTTTCTCATGAGTTTTCCTTCCTAGAATTTAATAACGAAATCTTAGCATAAGTACTCGTATACGTTTTATATGATCGTCAAATTTTAATTCAATTACTGACTGGATAATTTTTGGAAAATAATGTTTTTCATTAAACGACATTAGTTTTTTCGGCGTAATTCGCAAAACATATTTATTATATTATAATTTTAAACTCACTAGAAAGTCAGTACTATAAACTGTTACATAAATAATATTATCATTTTCTATACTCAATGAAATCTTCAAAATATTTAGACAATTTTTAATTTAAATATCATAGGAGTGTGCAATATTTTTTTAATTATTATTATTTATTTATTGTTGTTAAGTTGAGTTAATAATTTCTATGCTCAATATAAGGGAGTCACGAACATTGAATACCTACTATGTGAGGTTAGATATGTTCTTACAGCAACTTGGAATTGTTTGAAACGAATCACCACACTTTTTTTTAACGATATTTCAAGTCCAAGTTTTGACGAAATGATATCCATAACGATTTTATTAATTAAAAATTATTTTCTATATTTTTTTCTGGTCTAGAAACTTTTCGCAATTGCGTCATTATATTATTAATAATTATCATTATCGTTAACTATTAATATTTAGTTTCAATAATTTACCGTGCCGGAAGTCTCGTCGTGCTATATCTACGAGTCATATTTTAGAGGTTATTTACTTTACGAGATCCTAACGCCGCTTGTAGCGTCTTTTGGGTACTGGAGAGCACTTGTCTGCTTCTACAGAAGTGGTCGAGTACATCGTCGTCCGCTCAAATTGAAACATTTATAAACAAAGAGAATTTGTGCGCATTTCGCCCGAGCATCGACCTAAGAATGTCAGTGACGGTCATTTTACAGTAGGAGCCGTAGTAAAATTGTTAACTGGCCGTAAAAATAAAACCGTCCTATTCACACAATATTATACTGCAGAGGTGAAGGGTTACTAAAACCATACAGCGTCTCTCCCATCTCCCCCTCCTCCCCCCGAGGTGGGGGGAGGAACCGGGGGTTTTTATCGCTTTCGGCACGACCGAAATATTAATCTGAGACCTGTGGACTTTTATTATATTCCGGGCTCTTTGCTCTCCACCTTTTGCATTAATGAAATTCGTGCTCCGAGACATTTTCGATGGATTACCAATCGATGGTTTTTATCGTCTCTTAACACTTTATTATTAATTTGTGTTCTCTCGGAATGGCGTTCGACCCGGCGGAGTGGAAAAAACTCGACGAGGACGAATCTTGTCCTCCGAGCATAAAAATAATCGTCGAAAGTAAAACGAATTTAAATATGATAAGTTTATACCTATATAGGTGCTGCGAGATTGCACGAATATACGTCTTGTTTACTATATTATAACAGTGTGACCTTGTTTTGATTTGTTGTATTATTTTTTTTCATCGAAATAATAACGCCAAAAACAAACGCAAAACGTCTAAAACGATATCGATTGATGCTGCAGTGGAAGATAAACTCCACCGTTCATTAATTTCGTCATCCGTTTGAGGTAGACATTCGTTTTTTATGCTAATTTTTTTATTAGTTAGTAAATAATTTTAAAAATAAACCTATCAATTTTTTTTTTTTTAAATTAATTAGTATTTCACAAAGGCATATGTATATATATATATTATATTATATCTTTAATGAATAAAAATTATTTATATTTTTGCATGTAGATACCTAACAACAAAATGATTAATTTAAATTTAAAAGTAACATATTAGGTTTATTTATAATATCTTATTGGCCTCAAATACAATAATTATGCTGTGTAGTTCAATTTATTAATTAGGTACGCCTATATTTATATACATTTTTTAATTGGAAATTTTGGAGTCTCGGCTACTGAGTGAAAATGTAATTTATTAAACTGGTAGGATGTATAAAAACGATTCGAAGTAATAATAAATGGAACAAAACATTGTAAACTTTAAACATTTCCAGTATAAGTTTTGAATCATGAAATAATACAAAAACATCTCCGAGTATCAATAATATAGATTTCGAATTGTTTTCGGTGACAAAACTACGAATGTCATGTAACGAAACGATCAGAAATACTGTTATAACTCAATAAGTCATAATATTAAATTGTATTGTCTCCCACTCATATTAAGTATCAAATAGTGTAATTTTAATAAAATGTTTTTTTTTTTGTGTATTCAACAGCGTCATATAGAAGGACAAGGTGGAACTATTTCACTACAAATTATTATTATAATTTTCCGCATTGTTATTTATAGTTTGGGCGGACATGGCATACAAATATAGACAATAATATTATACAAACAATATAATATTTTGTTATATAAAATAGTAGGTATAGGTATATACTTGAATATACAGAATTCTTTTTTTATGATCTATCTCTTTATTCAAAACATCAAGGATTATACGTCGTTTTAAATTCAAAATCGTACGACGAATTTACCTAACAAAACAAACAATATGTAAATTTACTTATACGTCACGGGAGTTCATAATAATATATCATATTATAATACATATTATACATATTATTGTAAAGCTAAGAATAACTTGGCGGACATAGAAAATAAATAATACAATAATATAATTTCTGTTTTGTTTATAATATAATACGCGTGATCACATATAATATAAATACATAATAATATAATAATAATATAATATAACATAATAATATTATGTCATATAGTAATATATAATTCATAATATTTTTTGTATAACGATTTTTACAACATTATTAAAACAGAAAACGGTTGAAAAAACCGTAGTTTTTTTTTTTCGTTTTACTAGCTTATCTTAGATAGGTAACAATCGTTTGAAATGGTATTATAAGTATTATTATTATTATTATTGTTGTTGTTGTTGTAATTATTAATTTTTTTTTTTTTATATATATAAAATAATATAACTTAACTATATGTATCTTTTGGTTAGACAATTATAATAATAAATTATTATGTTATTGGCATAATATAATATAATAAACGTTATGTACACTTATAATAATAATAATAATATAATATATAAACACATAAGGATACAAAATTGATGTGGACAACGAATAGTTTAAACTTTATAATTGTAATATTAATATCGTTAATACTTTGACAACAAGCCCGGAGTACAACGCACAGTGTTCGTTATTACAATATTTAATATTATAATATTATTTAGGTACCTAACGGCGGCGTTAACAGACAACTGCAGCTAGGTATATATTGTAATAATAATAATAATAGTATAGTACCTGTATTGAAATAGGTGTCGATTATTCCCATACAGAGGCTTATAGTTTTAATATAAGAGTTATTATTTTACGGTTTATAGAAAAAGACGAAGAAGAAATTATCATTATTATTTTTTTTTATAATATAATATATACACACTTACAGTTAGGTATTGAATATTATTAATTATTATATAATATTATATTAATATAGTATAATAGAATCGTATGTTACATTGTAGTATTAAAAAAAAAAAAAACAAAACAAAAACGAAGCGCATTTTTCTAATGCCTAATCGGATAATGTTTGAATTGTATAATATTATATTATTATGATAATTATTTTAGTTCTACACACGGGTAATCGTTAGTCCACCTCACATAACGTTATGGGCACACATCACATAACGGCGGTATATTATTTTTTAATTAAGTAATCAGCAGACAGCCAATTATGATTATTGATTAGTATATTTATTTATTATCGTACAGTAATATTGAAGTCTCCTAAAAACAGTGCGCGAGTCTACACCGAATGGGAGATAATGATACAAGACGTATAACACATTAAAATAACTCTATATATTATAATATGACGTATGTTGTATAGAATTAACTCTGACCGACAAACCGATTGGATTAATCTAAAAAAATCAAAAAAAAAAAATCGTCAAAAATAGTATTATTATTATTCACAACAATAACAATATATTGTCATAACTATAATAACGACTCATTATATTATTATATATACGCGAAGCTAATGTACATATTATCATTATTGATATTATGTTGATCTAACGACGATAGTATAGTTAATAGTAATAATATTATATATTTTACAAAATTACAACAATTTTATCTTCGACGGGGGAGACCGACGGCGATCGAGGGCGTTCGAGTCGCGTGCACGGACGTCGTCTATGATGGTGACTGGAAGAAATTCCTGGACCCTTCCCCCCTCTTCCCCACTTGGTATTTTTCAGAGGGCTTAGACATCGTCGAGCGGGCATGGAGGGTTTGGAGAGATTAACCGTGGTCGTCGCTAGCGGCGTCGGGGTGGAACCTGACCTACATGGTTCTAACAATCATGTGGACATATTATAGGAGGAGAGCGGAGGCAAAAATAATATTTTTATAATTTCGGTCGATTCGTGTTTACGGTGGGGGTTGGGGGGGGATATTTTACGCGGTGGTTCAAATACGACGACTACGACTGCAGTGAGTAATAAAAATGTTAAATGTATATACGCTTCACTTGACGGGTCGCGACGTGTGGTTGAGGTTAGCAACTGCAGCAGGGGTTGGTTATGTGTGGTACGGATTATTTTCTACATTTTATTCCTACTGAACCGGTAGCTGGTCGAGGGGGGGAGGGGAGGGAATAAAAAGAGTTTCCATAATCATCGAACCATTGAATTTCCACGTTTGACGGCGTTCGCCCGCCACGACAAGGCGAACACACACAGTTCGCCCTGCACGTCGCCCGTCATCGTAACCCACACACCCACACACACACACACACACATACATTTACATATAATAGCGCTTTTGACGCAATGCGGCGGAAGCCGTCGTTAAAATAATAATATTACAGTTTCTTTTTTCCGTTCTCCATCTCCGTCTCTCACTCGGCGGTCGGTCGGTCGTCGTCGAACGCGGTAAATTATATTACTATTATTATATTTTTTTTCTAAAATTGCTACTGTACAATCCATAGGGGTTTCATTTTTTTTTTTTTTTGCCCGCATCGTATCGATAGCGTAAAAAAAACGCTCGTTCGCACACGCACTCACACACACAACCACACATACCCACACACGCACACCCACACACATACACCACACACGGTTGGTGGCGTTTCACCGGTGCACCCCGTGCACGCGTGCAGGTGGGTAGCTCGCGGGTTCGCCGACTGCGGGTGGTGGGTGCAGGTGGTTGGGCGCGTGCGCACGCGCTGAACCGCGGACAATAACATCTTATACAAAACACAATAATATCATTAATATTAACAAAAATATATAGGTCGCGGGGTCGGTCCGGAACGGGTCGAGTGCGGATCGAAATGGATGAGGCGAAGACGACACCCGGACCGGAACTTCCGGCGAGGCGCTGCGGTCTTTCGGTGCGCTTCCGTCGACGTGGCCGCTTACACGTGCAACAGCATGCAAGCGAAAAATATCAAACAATACATGTGAGTGGTCCTCTGGTGAGCTTGGCCGCCGTGTTGCATCGCCGCCGGGTACTCTCCTGCGAACAACAGTAAAGTTGTTGTTGTTGTAGTCTTACAATAATGCGCACACGTTATATATAGGTACTATACCATAATGCATGAGCAACAATAACAATAATATTATTATATTTTATGTGGCGCTTGGGACCTACGAAAATCCTCTTCAGTGACCCAGTGACCCACAGCTGTGTGTAATAACCAAAAGATAACGTACGGTTCGGGGGGTATACCGTGGTAATATGTGTGACAGGCCAAATGTTCGCAATATTATATTATTGTAATAAATTCTCATCCCCACGAAAACGGAGAACTTTGTGCTGCAGATGCTTGCAGTTGTAAGTTGTACAGCGGGAGAATAGAAAAATATAATATTATTATGCTGGCTTAAAATATAATATTGGACAACGGGCGCCAACGATCGAGTGTCTGTTATGATATTATGGTCCATTTTTAAAATTGAAAATCTTAAGACAAAATATGCACGGCACAACGCGACAAAATAACACGTTTTCGCGTCATATTCAGTTAAAGCTCGGTATCATAATATTATTATAGTGGTTCAATATTAAAATAATAGCGATTAATAAGTAAAATTTACTATTTTAATATTATGTATCACATATTAATTTATGTATACAATTAATTGAAGATACGAGTTTATTGTTATCATTGTACAATAATTATAAATCATCATTGAATACATAACAGTTTTTTTTATATTGTACGTCTTAAAAACATCACCAGAATCCGATAGGTCACATATTATTTTAACGTAAACTCGGTAGGTAGTGGGTCTAATAATCTAATGCACAATATTATAACAAATATTATTATGTCACATCACCAACCATACAGGCATACAGCTGTTATTACCATGTATACCGTGAGTCGTAACCACGATCTCGGAGGTAGTTATTCCATTGTTATTTTGGTTTTTTTTTTATCCAGTCTGCAGTTGTCGTGAGTTAATATTGTATATGGTTATTATCTATTATACAGTGTTCGTTATTTGTTCCTACCCCCCACGGACACCAATTTTGTTCAGCTGGTTACAAATATAAAACCTTACCTCCCCCCATCTCACCCCACCTCTTCACCGAGAAACTGATATAATATTCGCTACCACTGCAAGTATTGGAATTGTTTTTACTGTTTCTGCCACGGAATCCAATAAAGTATGCTAGCTGATTATAATAATAATATTAATATAATAATGGCGTTTACGACCTATTGGAAATATAAATTCAGAGGAGCGATACGATGACACGCTTATAATTTCAGAAAACACTTAAGTTTTTTGAAAATATTTCTTTTACATAACGATATTGTTATAAGTCGTTGGTAAAAGACATTTTTAACAAGAAAATTATATTTTTAAAAAAAGTAATAAAATTAAAAATAGTAAAAATTAAAGTTGTCTTATAGAAAAATGTTGTTTTTCGACGACTTGAAATTATGTAAAAAATATTTTCAAAAACATTTATAGTTTCTGTAAATATAATAAGTGTCCTACGTTTTAATGGATGACCGGGTAAAACCGTTCACACACTGCGCTCAGTCTCATCAGAAACCGAAAACCCTATCGCTCACCGTTCAACACGTGTACGTTGATGGACTTTGGCTGTGAGTTGGACGGGTTGCACTGATATCGGCCGTTGTCCTCGACCCGAGCTTCTTGTATGAGCAGATGACTGGTGGTGACCGTTCCTTTTTCGGTGACTACGTTCACGCCTCCTCTGGGCGAATCGTAACTGATAATCTGAGGACAAAATGGAGTTGTAATTTTATGTTCAAATAAGTCAATGTCATCATCATAGGTAGGTGTATAGGTACTTATTAATACATCGATATTAGGAGTCACGTATTAGCTATTAGGCACCTATCCCTATTAGGCGGCACCGGATGCCAACAAATAAAATGTGAATATTTATAATGATTAAAGTTTTTTTTTTTTTTTCGTTACCAGGTTTCACTCAAAACTTTTAGTACCTACTTAAATTTATAACGATATTACGATGTGCTGAAAGCTAAAACCTTGGGCTCAGACTTCCTTATAAAGAAAAAACTATAAATCAGTACTTTAAAACAATCAACAGACACCCGAGGAAATTGAGTCACGATTAGACTAACAGTTAGTATGAGTACAATTTACGTTCTTTTTAAAAATATTACATTTTGTATCAAAAACAATTAATACCTATACTATATGGATCAATTAAACATTGTTGAATGTAATGTGAAACAAAAATGTTAATGATTAATATTTTCAGATGTCAATAAAAATACAGAAAGTGCACATTACACGCAGTGTTATTCTCAAAGTTACTTCTGTAAAAAGTTTTTCTATAAATCGCAGATTCTTCGAAGAATTTTACAAGAATGAATTTTATTTTTTTTTTTTGATACAAGGAATTCGATTTTACCTTTTAAAACTTTGGACACGGTGTTCTGTACTTTTTACCATGTATATACCATAAAACTTTTGTTTTTTAACAGCTCTGAAATTCTTAAATTTTTAATACTTTTGATATGCACAGCAGTTCCATGTAAACTTACAATTTTCGCGATATTGTATTTCAAACGAATGGCTGAAGGCTATGTGGAGTTTTTTTATTTTTATTAGAAATTAAATAATATAAAATGATGCACTTAGATACATCACAGCTGCGACCATCGATTTTACCATTTTTTACTTTATACATATGACATAATTTACAGAATTAAAAATTTTCCTTAAAATTTAAAGGAATGCATTGGGAGACCTTTTGACCTTTTACGTTGAATTTTTTTGGCTTACAAAATGAGGTTAAACATTTTTTCGTGTACCTATAAATGTTCTTTAATATTTAAGGAAATCGCAAATATGCTTAAACATTATATGGCACGGAGATTTCATAAATATATAATTATTTTTTTTTCGATTTGGAAAATAGAAAGTTATGATATTAAATTTACTTTATTAAATTATTAGCTTTATTAAATATTTAAAGTAAATATCTTTGTACTTTTAAAAATGTTATGTTTTTAAGTTTTTCTTTATGTTTTGTTAGTATTAACATCTCAAGTTTTCGTAAATGTCACCGAAATTGTTACCCAGAATAATAATTTAAGTTGCAAGCAGTTTAATATCTACTTAAGTAAAAAAAAAAAAAAATTTACTTAATAATAATATTATACCAAAATTAACTCCATTCGAAAATAGTTGGTATACCTACTGGAAGAACTGAATGATTTTTATATGTTGGATAAAATGTTCCATGTCCATTATTTATTTTTCATCCAAGTAAAAACCTATTCGGATTCATCTGGTTTGTTAAAATATTTTTTGATGATATTTATACGATTAATTTGATACACGATTAAATCACGGAAATATTTTGATCGTTAAGTAATTTTGTAAGTTGCGTACATTCCAATCATTATATTTTATACCTATACTGTTTTCAATAATAAGTAAGCTAAACATTTAAAATTTGATTTTCCAAAATAAGTTATTAACTCGTATACCACCTGCATCGAAATATGATCGTAAGGTTAGGACATTATAGGTATTGTGCATTATGAATGTTATTCAATTGTTTATCTCGCACGTGCTTACCGAGTATTGTAATCTTCGAATATATAATATATAATATTTTATATCAATACAACGATATCGATTTTCCATTGATCGTGCATTTTTTAACCGTTATATACTGTCAATTCCTCGAAAATAATAAGGTGTTCTATTTGAAGCACACTTCAGACGCTGTCATGTATAGTATTATAGTTTATGATTAACTAATATTCACTGAGACGTCTGCGAGTTAGCCTTGATTACCTCATCCGAACTGCATACGAGATGTAATTACATTGTCTGCATACGTAAATATTATATAGAATAATATTCATCGCACTAATCCGTTTTGTGGTTCGACGAAGTATTATTATTATAATAGTCCGCAGCTCGATATCAAACCCCGCGGTGAATAAAGTGACGAAGTATTATAAAAGGCTCTCAGAGTTTGTCTATAACCTATATACTATTAGATACCCAAGTATACCTACCAACCAAAGGTGTTCAATCCGCTGGGCCACTAGCCCCCCCCCCCTTTGATCGGCCCTTTGTGTGTCTTTAAAACCGACGATACATTTATGATACGGTACGACGATACAATATTATTGTGTTCTGCTGCAACAATCGCAGCAATATTTTGTTTTCTAGAAATATATAAAAAAAGGTAAAAAATGCACAAAGTTTTACGCCCGTAATATTAGTACAGTGTACGTGTCGGTGTCGTGACGATTGACCACCCCTCGTCGACCGTGTCACCCCTTTTTTCGAACCATTGACATTTAAGACATCGAAAGTGATGGTTACGTATCTCATCACAACTCGATCTCATGTCTCTGTCTTGTCCTGGCCGATAAGTCCCCTAAAGATTCAGAAATCGACTTGTCCGTCGAATGAAGTTTCTCCTACCACATCAAATGGCAGCTGAGTACGCTTGTCTACTAGAGAACTAGTATCCTTTTATATACTATGCGTTTTAATTTAAGTAGTATTATTATAAGTGGAAAAATATTCACAATAAATAATAATTATTCACTTTGAAAATTATACGAACCAATTATTCTTTTTCCTCCCCAATAAATTCACTGATGTCTATTGCAAATTCAGTTAATTTAGATTTGTTTTTTTGTAATATAAATAGTATTAAATCAGCATTTAATGTTTGATTATTTAAAATGTATTTTTTGTTTTGTTTCAATGTTTTTAATTGTTCACTGTTAATTCAGTCTAAATGTAATTATATTTAATATATTGTAAACTATACTTGTACTATATCTAGGTTTAAATAATATGTAATCACTAAACTAAATATCATCATATGTTTTTTACACTGTACACTATATATTAATATTGTAAATGGATTTATTCCGTAAATAAATAAATAAATAAATAAATAAATAAATAAATAAATTGCTGTACGTATTCAGTGTGATTATAGTCTTGTTTGATTTGATTTATAAATATGTAAATATTTTTTTCAACTACAATTAGCGATAATTATTTATATATTATTATCTATAAAAGTGAAGGACGTATGTTCTTAAATTGTGGACCTAGGTACCTATATACTATACAGTGTGTAAACGGTAATCGAGAACACTCAATATCTTTGCGTAGAGACCTGCTATTTGAATTCCGTTTTTTTGGCAGTTGTTATGACATAAAAATACACATTTTTATGGTCTTTGAGTTTTTTTTACTTAACTAGTCACGCGCATGCGCATGTCAACTTTTTTTTTTTAAATGGCAACCCCCTGCTTTAACCACTAATTATTTTTTGCCTATTTTTTTAATGAATTTTGGTAGTTGAATCAACTTTCTAAGTCCAAAATTGACCAAGTTACAGCCAATCAAAAAAAGAAAAAATTAGAAAAAAAAATGCGCTCAAATTTCAGCTTTTTGATTGTAACTCTGAAAATAATTATTTTAGGATTGTTAAACATTGACATTTTTGTAACTATTTATTACGGTGATATTCAAAGAAATAAACAACATACTAATTTACGTTTTTTCTGCTATAATAAGTTATATGATTTATTACACAAATTAAAGAGAAAATTATTCAGTAATTGAAGTTAAAATAACGTATGAATATCACCGTAATAAATAGTTACAAAAATGTCAATGTTTAACAATCCTAAAATAATTATTTTCAGAGTTACAATCAAAAAGCTGAAATTTGAGCGCATTTTTTTTCTAATTTTTTTCTTTTTTTGATTGGCTGTAACTTGATCAATTTTGGACTTAGAAAGTTGATTCAACTACCAAAATTCATTAAAAAGATAGGCAAAAAATAATTAGTGGTTAAAGCAGGGGGTTGCCATTTAAAAAAAAAAAGTTGACATGCGCATGCTCGTGACTAGTTAAGTAAAAAAAAATCAAAGACCATAAAAATGTGCATTTTTATGTCATAACAACTGCCAAAAAAACGGAATTCAAAAAGCAGGTCTCTACGCAAAGATATTGAGTGTTCTCGATTACCGTTTACACACTGTATAAATGTATAATATATAACAGTTAATATACGTTATTAATTTATAATATTATCTAGTATGTATGTACCTGAAAGTTAAGATTAAAAATTATAGTTTTTCTTATAATATATTTATTAAAAAATCATACCATGGCATAGTTACATATTTTATATCATTATATTTTTGCTGAATTAAATATTATTTGTTTAAATATTCTCTTTAAAATAGTTAATACCTGCAATAGTCCTTTGTGCACAATTATTGGGTGCATTAATATCGTTACGTCTGTAAACTAAATTCTATTGAAGTGGGCAATTTGAATTGGTAAATATAATATCGTTCCAAAAATTTGAACACACATTACCTATACTAAACCTATGTCGATTGTTGAGTGCACCGCACCATGTACGCATAGTTGGTTTTGTGAAATTAAATTTGTATGTACAAACCCTGCCAACTGCACTGAAACGCGTAGGTGGGGTGGGGAAATTCACTTATCGAAAATACCTCATAGGTGATACCTACAATTGTGGCCATCATTTCTGTTCAACCTAACCACACTTTATTTGTTATTATTTTCGTGACTATTGGTTTATTATTTAAATATAGTGTCACCTTGTGATAGAGAGTCGTCTTCGAAAGCGATTTTTCGTATAATTGCACACAATGCGTCAACTATTCGTTGTGCCATATTTAAAATCGCTTTCAATATTTGAATTTCTTTTATGAAAT